AGTTCACTTTATATCCGTCGCTAATAACAGTGATTGCTCAGTTCTATAGCCCCTTCAAATAAAAAGAAAATTACAGCTTTAAAGAGAGAAATGCAGTGGTTTAGAGATGCGCAATGCTCCCTTTTATCCTACACTTCGAATACAGTAAAAAATGCCATTTTTCTTTTTAATGCATTCCTGTCCCCTTTGCCCTCTCAAATCAGTTCAGTTGTAATATACTTGTCTATGGCCTTGCCAATAAAGTCCCTCTAACGTGAAGAGAATTACCCTGAATTGCACTGGCCAGAGAGAGAGAAAGAATGAGAGGCTGCCAGAGAGATGGAGAGAGACATCAGTGTCCTATTGATTTTCCAGCGAATGGTGTGATTGGCTCTTCCTGGTCATTATGGCACAGAAATAGAGAGGAATCTCACCTCGGCACTATACCTGATCAAACTCTACAGGAAGTCCTCTTCCAGGGAACACCTCCTCGTGCCTATTTGAAACCAAGGTGCGAATTTTCAACCAGAGAGTTTCCTGGTCATTCATTTATCCACTTTGAGCTCATTTTCATGCTCTCATCTGCCCACATGAGGCAATTTCACCAGCGCCATCCATCCTGCTTTGAGATTCTATCTACAATTTTGCAATTCATACGTGATTTTGGCCCATCCAGCCTTGTTCATCTACCTCTTTTCCTTCCTCTCCACAGGAAACTGGATATTAGAGAGAGAGAAGGAGAGGGAGAGAGAGAGCTCATTTTAATGCAGTGTTTGATTTTAGATGTTCAGCAAGTTATTACGCTGATAATTGAGACGCTCTGCTCATCTCATTCCCATCTCCCTGCCTCCCTCTTGCTCCTGGGCCGATGGGAAACTCGTGTGAGTGAGTGTGTGTGTGCGTTTCAGCGCTTCTGGACACTCTCACGTCGAAGAAAAAGCATTGCGCAGGTCACAGGCGAGCGCGCTCGACCGCGTGGACTGTCACAGCTCTGCGGAGGATGACGTCAGCATCTCTATTAAATGAGCAAATGGGCTCGGGCTCTGTTTCCAAACACTCGAGAAACTGAGGGACTGCACTTCGCAGACTCAGATATATAGTTGTCTAAATATATCGACGCGCAATGATGTAATGCGGGCGCTTTCTGGGAATACGCCGGAATGCGCGCAGTACAGTCTCCTGACCAGTAGATGTAACTACTGTTTCATCCGTATCTCAGTGTGATGGAGATGTCCGCGCACGAGCCGGTCTGATAACACTACAAACACACTGTATCTTTTATATTTATTTACCGCGTAAAGAGATTAATTTTCCACTGTCTAATCTGTGTCATGGTTTATTCGCTCTGTGAAATGAATAACAGTCGACGGACTGTGGGATGGTGGTGGCATTAAACAACACAAGTGTTTATGTAGTGATTTGGGGCCGGAAGTGTCCCGCCCCGACGCTCCGGTTGGCTGCTCGAGCCTCCACCACGGTGACCGAGTCGCTGCTCTCTCGGGGTATCTGCCTCTCGTGCAGTCGTCCATGTTTAACCCCGCGCGTCCCCCGCACCGCACAGCGAGTAATCCGCGTGCAGAACTAATCCTTAAATCCTCTCGCGAGTCGCAACGCCCTCCCCTCCTCCCATGCTCTCCAGCCGGCGGGTCTCCAGAGGCCGGCGCGCGCGCGATGGGACTCAATATTCACAAGACCACACCTCGCGCCGCCACCAGCCTGCACAAGCGGGAACCTCCAGAAAAGACTGCCCTGACCTGCTCACACTTCACCCCTAAAATTCAACATGAAAATAGGATTTGTAGAGAATATGGAGATTTTTTTAGCACCACGAAAATTAAAAGTGACATTTTTCTTTTTTATTTATGCTAATAATGCTAAAATATGCTAGAATAATAGGCCTATTATTATGACATTTAAGACAAAGACTTTTTGTGATTCCCTCACCTTTCGTTAATGAAACCGGGATGTTGTATATATTTAATAAAATAAGTACACAATTCAGTTTTAATTAATCAATTTCCTTTTATTATAGACTTTATAATTAGCCCTAAATGTTTTGCATAAGCTAGCTGTTCATTCATTCATTCATTCATTCATTCATTCATTCATTCATTCATTCATTCATTCATTCATTCATTCACTCAACCATTCACTAATTCATTCATTGATTCATTTATTCATTTACTAGTTCAACCTTTCATTCATTCATTCATTCATTCATTCATTCATTCAGTAAAACTCACTCACTCACCCACCCACTCACTCACTCACTCACTCACTCACCCACCCACTCACCCACTCACTCACTCACTCACTCACCCACTCACTCACTCACTCACCACCCACCCACTCACTCACTCACTCACTCACTCACTCACTCACTCATTTATTCATTCACTAATCCATTCATTCGCTCATTCATTCACTGTAGGATCTCACACAATTTATTCATGTTGTCTCAACAGAAATTGATTGAATTAACGCTTTTAATAAATGTATGTGGATTAAACATAAAAAATTAAGTTGTCCCAATAAAATGTCAAGAATTGTGTTGTTTCAGCTCATTTTACTTTAGTTTGAAATGTTTTTGAGTGTTCGCTCATTCATTCAATTAGTCATTAATTAATTCATTTATTCATGCACTAATTGATTCATTCACTTATTTATTCATTCACTAATTCGTTCATTTGCCATTTTCCATCAGTTAATAAATTCATTCATTCATTCGTTCACTCATTCATTTAAACATTAATTCACTCTTTCATTCATACACTCATTCATTCATCCATTCATTTACTCAGTGTTCTTGGTTGTAATGTGATTTCTTTAACAGCCAACACTAGGAACACTCTGTTTCTTAGCACATACAGGCTAGTGTTTTAAAGTTACTAATTTAATGTACCATTTATGCTTGACCTATACTCAACAACACCGATTATTATATAATATTTTTATTGTTTGTAATTTGTTATTATAAACTTTAAATATAGCTACAAACCCTATATACTAAATATATAATACATCTGTGACCAATTAGACCATGATAACTTTAACTAGGCAAATAAATGCGTTGTATAAAGAATATAATGATTGGTATTGATTGTTTTAGTTTAATTTTTTATGATTAATGATTATTTGTTTGTTTGACTTTTTTATTCGAAGAAATAATGAGTTAAAACTCTTAATATTACAATAAAGAAGTTATATTACAATAATAGAACGAAGTTTCATGGGATTAGCCTACTGTAAAAACCGACTGTCCACTAACTTCATGCAGGATATTGTTATAAACAATAACAACAACAACAACATAATAACAATAATAATAACAAAACTCTCTCAGTCAGTATGGTCTGGTCCTGTTATTCAAATGGTATGGCCAAATCGTATTAAAATCCCCACCCCTCCCCCTCCGCCCCGCGCGCCTGCCCCTTCCCTCCCTCCCTTCCTCTCTTCCTCTCCCTCCCTTTCTCCGTGCTTTCAGACAGACTGTTTTGCTGCAGTGAACGGTAGCCGTGGAGAGAGGAAAAGGCAAGAAAAACAAGAAGACAGCGGAGGGCGGAACGAGAACCAAGACAGACAGATCCATTGGGACCTTAGCGTGAGCGCCAGCAGGCACAGACGCTTCCAACACTCCTGAACCGACGGAGCCATCGGGCATCACGAGGAGCGCTTATATCGGTGAGTATCGTAATCTGCCCTCCTTTTGAGCTCACAGACACGCAGGGGCATTATTGTCGTTGGCGTCCTGGCGCTTATACGGAATGGGTGGGGGTGTGGGGGGGACACCTGTCAGGTTTGTAAATAGGGACACGCTCGTGCTCTGGAATGCGCCTGCATCCGCGCGCGCGCCAGGCGCACCGGGAACAAATCCGCGAGCTCGGAGGTGTAAAACTATGAGCGCTGATGGTAAAGTGTGCTTAGGCTACTGTTAATGCGCTGGTGCTCGCTTTGCCCCTCGCATTTCCCCTCCCCTCCTTCCACCAGCATCCCTGCCGCTCCTTCTGCATTCAGCGCGCTCGGACTGTGTGCACCTGCTACTGTTTTCCGTGGTTCGGTGGGGCGTCCCGGTTGGGACTGGTACTCATAGGGAGTGAGGGATGGAAATAAAGAGAAGTGCAAGAGAAGAGCCGATGATGAGTGAGGGATGCTGCTGGCTTCGTCTCAGGTTGCGTGTTATTGAATTGCAGCAGGTATCATCACCTCATCCCGTCGGTTTGAGATGAGGCGAGGCTTCATTGCTCCATACACACACGCGCACACATTCAGTTTGACAGCCCTCTTCTATAGTTGCACAACATTACAGAGCATCTCTCGGCGATCGGCCGCCCGCCCCGCAGGCAACGCCATGACTTGCACAGTTCACAAAGCGCACTAACAGAGAGGAATGGGCGACCTGGAGTATTGTGTGTGTGTGTGTGTTAGTGTGTGTGTGCGCGCGCGTCCACGGTCGCGCTGTATCCTCAACGGGCGACAGGTGCACCTTCCCCTCGCGCGCGCAGCAGTCAGAGCGGGAGAATAATGAGAGCCGTGTTAAAGGCTACCGGGAGGCAGAACTCTACAAATCTCTATTCCTGTCAGGCTCCGCGCTCGCTTTTACGTAGCATTTGTCGATTCGGACTGGTTTTCTGGGTTACCGAGTGACGACAGGAATGTTTTCGATCACTGCGTCACATCATACACACATACACACTGAGTGACACGAGACGATCAATGGAAACACTGGGGCAGCGCGTGAGTGAAGTGTGTGTGTGTTCAGCATCTATGCGACCAATCGGCGCTCTCCGTCTGTTAATGAGTGTGTGTGTGTGTGTGTGTCCTTTCTTACAGTCAGCGCTTCAGTGAGCTTCTCCACTTCTCCGGGCCTCAAGAGGACTATTGGCTGTAGCGTGCTTGACGGATGAGCGGGATGCGCGCGCGTCAGACTCTGGCATTCCCGTCATTCCAGCGGGCAGCTCTCCGGGCGCTCGCGGCCTTCACGATGATTCTCGCGACCTCCGTGCGGAGCAACTACGTTTATGGTAAGAAACCCCCACCGTTCTGCTCTCCGTCCGCTCCTCCCTCATGTTTTCGCTGTTTTCTGTTTTTACAAGGGAATCACAGAGCCGTTAATAAGCTCGTGGGGCACAGAGGAGCCTCCCCCTCATCTCAGATCCAACGGAATTTTCTGCTGTGTTGTTATTTTTTGAACTAGGCTATACCTGTATCTATCTATCTATCTATCTATCTATCTATCTATCTATCTATCTATCTATCTATCTATCTATCTATCTATCTATCTATCTATCTATCTATCTATCTATCTATCTATCTATCTATCTATCTATCTATCTATCTATCTATCTATCTATCTATCTATCTATCTATCTATCTATCTATCTATCTCTTAAAAGAAACAAGTTGAATTAAAAATCAGATTGTATTAAGTTGAACTTGAGTTAGATTTCTAGTTCCCAGCATGTGGTGTCAGACTGTAATAAGAAAATAATAATGTAAACATTTAAGTGATCAATATTAACATAAGGAGACGTTAGTTAGTCTTTAAGTTTGCTATGTTGGGGTTTACAAAGGTTTCTGTAAAAAATTTGCTAAGCTCTACTAAGTCATTACAACACATTTGTCCCAATACAAACCGATTAACTTCATTGTTTTTCCAAATTAAGTTGATTTAACATAAAACAATTAAGTTGTCCCCAAAAATCTCAAGATTTGTGATGTTTCAGCTCATTTTAAATGAGTTGTTTGAACAAGCAGCAGAACTTTTTTTGAAGGAAGGAATGCTTTTAATAAACACAAAAAAACTAACAAATTGGATGAACTCAATTTAATTAAGGGCAGGATTTCCATCCTATAAATTTGTTTAGCACGAAAAAACTATTTGCACAATTAAATGCAATTGAGTTGGTCCAACATGATTTTATTAAACAAAAGTTTAAATACATTTGTATTTTTATTTAACTTCTACTCAAAGGTCTGATAATATCATGTATGTCTATTATGTGCCGTACATTTCGTAGTCTCTAAGTTTTATCCTAAATGTTATCCTAAATGAACCAAAAGAGCAATTTTTAAGCGTGTTTTGATGAGTTATACAGTCGATTGAGACTGATCTCAGAACTAATTTTAGGACAGTTATTGCTTACTGATCAAAAGCAACAAAGACTGCATTTTTGCTAATTAAGCTGCCAACACCCAAATAATAGGTGCTTCTGCAAGGTGGTACTCTCAAAACTCAAAGCATTACATATAAATATTTTTAATCTTCAAACTAAATCTTTCTATTAACTTTAAACACCTAAGATTACTTTTATTGTCAACATTTCCCTCTCTTAATTTAATACCACGCAAAGCATGCTGGGAATTACAAATGACCAGGTAGTTGTACCAACACAATTCCTTCATGTTGTCTCAACACAAAACATTTAAATTAATGGTTTACAAATGTAAGTGAAATGAACGTAAAACAAATGAATTGGCTAAAAAAACAACAATAATTGTGTTGTTTCAGCTCATTTTAAATGGGTACAAGCAGCAGTAATCAGTTCTTTGAGTGTATTCATAAGAAAGACTTAAAACAAAAAAAGTTATGGTTACTGAATTAAGGAAATGAGTTTGCATGATTGAGTTAAGCAAATTTCTGTGTGGAGTGTGCATGTTCTCCCTGTATTTGCATGGGTTTCCCCCACAATTCAAAGACATGCGCTATAGGTGAATTGGATGAACTAAATTGGTTGTGAGTGTGTGTGAATGTGAGAGTGTATGGGTTTTTCCCAATACCGGGTTGCGGCTGAAAGGGCATCCACTGTGTAAAACCTATGTTAGCAGTGTCAACCCCTGATGATTATGGCAGTAAGCTGTAGGAGAATGAATGAATGAATGAATGAATGAATGAATGATCTAATGTTGAAGGATTACTTATAGCAAACAGATGAGTGGAGAACATAGCTGCTCTCATTGTTCTACAACGCGCAGCTCATATTGAGTTAAGATCAGTCCATTCTCAAGCACATGTTCACACATTACACAATCAGAGTTGCACTGAATGAGCCTTCTGGCTTGAGTAGGTGTGGGGCTGCTACATTGCTTCTCTATTGAGTTTAGGACTGAACATCATCGTTTTTTCATGTCAAATCTTTTTATAAAATGCTTTTTGCCATGAAGTCTAAATTTGTTTGCCATGTTCAGGTTTTGTTTTAAATGTCTGATTGGTCATGGCTATTTCAGCAGACTGATGAGTGGAGATCATAACTGCTTTTAATTGTTAGTGGAAGTGTAATTGCTCCTTCACAAGTGTATGTTACACAATGGCAGTGAGTTGGACTGAATCAGTCTGCTGGTTTGTGTAGGTGTATTGTTATTCTCCGAAGTACTCGCTGAACAGATCTTTATCAAATGTCCAAAATGAAATGTGGTTGATTAGTCATGAATGATGATTGTGTGATTGTGTTTTCTTTTCATTGTACAGAGTTAACTGAAGATTTGTGTTAAAATCAGAGAGATGGTGTCAGTGACTTTGCAGATCTATCTATCTATCTATCTATCTATCTATCTATCTATCTATCTATCTATCTATCTATCTATCTATCTATCTATCTATCTATCTATCTATCTATCTGTCTATCTGTCTATCTGTCTGTCTGTCTGTCTGTCTGTCTGTCTGTCTGTCTGTCTGTCTGTCTGTCTGTCTGTCTGTCTGTCTGTCTGTCTGTCTGTCTGTCTGTCTATCTGTCTGTCTATCTGTCTGTCTATCTATCTATCATCTTAGCAGTGACTTTATTATGAGTCTTTCTTTCTTTCTTTCTTTCTTTCTCACATTTTAATATTCTTTCTTTCTTTCTTTCTTTCTTTCTTTCTTTCTTTCTTTCTTTCTTTCTTTCTTTCTTTCTTTCTTTCTTTTTCACATTTTAATATTCTTTCTTTCTTTCTCACATTTTAATATTCTTTCTTTCTTTCTTTCTTTCTTTCTTTCTTTCTTTCTTTCTTTCTTTCTTTCTTTCTTTCTTTCTTTCTTTCTTTCTTTCTTTCTTTCTTTCTTTCTTTCTTTCTTTCTTTCTTTCTTTCTTTCTTTCTTTCTTTCTCTTTCTTTCTTTCTTTCTTTCTTTCTTTCTTTCTTTCTTTCTTTCTTTCTTTCTTTCTTTCTTTCTTTCTTTCTTTCTTTGTCATTGATCCTGATCTCGTCCTTTCTCTCTCTTACACAAACACTTAAACTCCGTCAGCTATTTTTGCCGCTCACTGCATTATTCATTATTGTGCTTTTTTTGTGCTTTTGCATATCCACTAACCCTTTGCATCCTTAATGCGAATATGAGCGTATATGTGAGTGTGCGCAGGCTTTTTACATCGCCCGATGTAAGAATGCATATGTACTCATCTTTTGTTTTATGTATGCGGTAATGGAGGTTGCTTGAGAGTATGTGTATAGGTTGTTTAAATGGTGCATATGGGTATGTCAAGTGCTGTATCGAATGCGGGATAGTCAATGACTGGTTTTATGGTAGAATAAATGACTTGTGATGCTGGTTTCAGCGTCACAGACTTTCTTTCCTCTTTTGAACAGTTTATGTGTAATAAGGCCTGTCAGCCTATTAACTAGCATAAGAAAAAAATATAAATCTTTGCACTTTCAGTGATTATTGCAGAATTCGGTCTTATTTTCACTTTTAAATGAATGTTAACTTCATCATGGTTTCCAACAAACTCTTTCTTATGCACCAAATCAGCATAATGGAATAATTTCTGTAGATTATATGTGAAACTGAAGACTGGAAACTGTCAAGTTTACCATTTGAGATTGGTTATTTTAAAATATATTAATAAAGATAAATCATTGCTGCCTTGTTGTGCATAAGACAACATAAAAAAGAGGATAAGAAAAAAAAAGACACACACTCAAATTTTGATAAGTGCTGTGTTATTTTATTGCCAAAACACCTTGGAGAAAATTGCAGTATATCAGGTGTTGATTCAGTTTTGGATTGATTAAATGAGTGTTCAGTAGTAGGTGGTTACTCTATTCATTCCTAAGGAAACCAAAAAAAGGTGTTTGCATGGTGAATTGTGGGTTTGACAGCAGATCGACGAAAACGTTGAGAGCAGTCAAGCATGTCCTAAAGTTGAGAAATGCTAAACTTTATGTAAATGTCAGGCGGAAAACGGCGAGTGGCAGCCAGTCGCTATGAGGAGCAGGTATGAGCTTTTCAAAAATAGGCAGGCAGTGCTGAAGTTTTTTCTGTATTTGTTGCATAAATCTACATATTAAAGTGTAATGCTGTAAATTGACACTTGCCTTTGATAATTATTGAATTTAACTTTCATCTTTGCAAATGTAATTGGTGACAATGTCTAATTTGGTTTGACTAAAAAGAACCAGCTCGAAAGAGTCATACATGAATCAGACTAGAATTATTCATTCCTTCACTTTCTTTTCGGTTTAGTCACTTTATTAATCTGGGGTTGCCACAGCAGAATGGACCGCCAACTTATCCAGCACATGTTTTACACAGCTGATGCCCTTCCAGCTGCCACCATACACAATCATTCACACTCATACACTATTGACAATTTAGCTTACTCAATTCACCTGTACCGCATGTCTTTGGAATGTGGGGGAAACCGAAGCACCCGGAGGAAACCCATGCAAACGTGGTGAGAACATGCAAACTCCACAGAGAAACACCCACTGACCCAGCCGAGGCTCAAACCAGCGACCTTCTTGCTGTGCGGCGACAGCACTACCTAATGCGCTACCGTGTCACCCTACTAGAATTATTGTGCTGTCTAATTTTGGTTGACTAAAAAGAGTCGTTTATAAGAGTCATTCAATTAAATTCTGATTTTGGATTCACAAAAAAATTGGCCAGATTATATGGGCCATTTGTGCAAAAGACTTGGTCACGATTTTAATTCACTGAAAATTGCTGGGTCATAAGAGTCATTTGTTAATGAATCAGATTACATTGACAGCAATGTCCAATTTTGATATACTGGAAAAAAGACAGTTCATAATAGTAATTTGTTCATG